TGAGTGTCTGTACGCCAATAAGGTTCTGGCCTCAGTTTCTCTTGAGGTGACATGAGGCTAAGACAGGTTCTGGAGAGAGGGGGCAGCATGGGCTCCAAACTGTAAAGTGCAGTCCTGGATGTCCTGAGGAGCACTGTGTGGGGAGTACACAGATGCCCAGCTTGGGCCCCAGAGACTGTCAGTCTCTGCCAGGGGCCCCCCATCATGATCCTGGGGTCCCCCTCATTCACAGTAGGATCTTTGTCACTGGCCTCCTCCAGCACCCACTGAGGAGTTCCTGGCCCCAGGCAGAGAGATAGTGAGGGCTGGTGCTGAAGGGGTCTCAGGCTTGGCCTACCCATGATCCCCTGGGTGACCTTGGGCAAGTCCCTGCCCCTTTCTAGGCCTCTAGTTTCCCCCTCTGAGCAACTTTTTTTGGGGGTCCCTCAAAATAATCAACGCTGGCCCACCTCATTCTCCCAATATCCTGAAGTTCCCCAATAACAACTAGGGTTCTAGTCCAGTTGCTGTGTGACCTTGGGCCTTAGGGGGTGGGTGGCCTGGGTGGCTCTGGGTGCCCCTGCCCCCTCCGCTCTTCCTTCACACTCCCTAGAGCCACAGGGGGAGCCAGGCAGAGGAAGGCTATTCCAGGCGAGGAGGTTGGAAGGCCGCCTGTTGTCACTGCGCCCTGGAATTCCCCCATCAGGACGCCTCAGGAGACAGGCCTCCATCCACGTTGCAGAGAGGGGGTGGCGGGGAGAACCAGAGCCCTGGCATCACCCATGAACTTGGGCACTCACTGTCCCGCTTTCCCCAGGAGCAGGGCAAGGATCAGGCGGCTCTCTGGTAGAAACCTGAAATCACAAAATTCAGGGGTTGCTGGGTGTAAGGAACAGGGAGACAAGGAGACAGAGACAAGCAGAGAGAACCAGAGTGCTCCTGCTGGGGTGGGGAGGGAGCAGCCCAAATGCAGGGGTCCCCTCCTGTTATTCTCCCATGTGCCCTCCCCCACTCTGGAGGGGAGTCCCCCCAACTCCCTCTCAGGTATCCTCCTAGCCTCAGTTTAATCCCTGCAGCTTCTTGCAGGCCCAGCATGGTCTGGAGTCTCCAGCTTGGGGACCTGGGAGGACCCTAACTGCCCCTACAGGACCCCCACCCCTGGCTTTCTGGCTGAGTCTCCCTAATCTGCCCCCACCCTATTTTTCTCTATCTTTATCTCTCCCTCCCCCTATCTCTCTGTCTCTGGCTGTATCTCTCCATCTCCGTCTCTCCCTGTCTTTCTCTGCCTCTCTCTTTGTTATTCCATGTCGATCTGTTCCTGTCTTTGTTGTGTCTCTCCCCATCTCTCCTTGTTTCTCACCATCTTTCCCCTTTTTGTCTATGTCTCTCTCTCCTTACACCATCTGTCTCTCCCTCTGTCTCTCTGTCTCTGAGCCTCCATGTCCCCCCTTGACGACTAATTTTACAACCTGAGTCCAGCCTAAAATAGCTCCCTTCTAGCTGATCCCACCCCATCCTCCTAGGAGCTGAGACTGGCTTGGGGGGAGGGGGCAGCTCCAGTGCCAGCCACCCTGTGCCCCTGCCCTGCCCACCTAGGGGGGGATGGTGGCCCTGAAGGATTCTGGGAGCCCCATCCCTCTTTCAATGGTGGTGACTCAAGCGCTTTTTCACTTTTACTCTTAAGAGGAACTGTGTGGAGCAGCCGTTACTTCCATAAATCCTGCCAGCGGGAAGGCCGGCCTCCCTGCGCTTGCCCCGCTCTGGGCCTCCCTCCCTGCCTCCCTCCTGCCTGCTGCCACCGCCACGTTAGTTATTCCGGGTTTGGGGCCAAATCTCTCTTGGCTGCAGTGCCCAGGATTCCCCGGGGCCACAGCCAGTGCAGCTGCCAGGGCCCCCTCCCTCATTCATTCATTCTTTCCTTCATTCTTTCACCTGGGTCCTTTTCAGGGAGGCACTTTTTTACTGCCATTTCTCCAGAAGGGAGACTGAGTCTGGGAGAGGGCCCCCAACTTTTGTTTGATTTAAGCGCCTTTCATGAGGGTGGGGGGAGGCAGAAGGCAGTGAGATCTAGGCCTGGTATGGGCTCTGCGGGGGTCAGGCTTCCCCNTAGATGTTCATTAAGCGCCTTTCATGAGGGTGGGGGGAGGCAGAAGGCAGTGAGATCTAGGCCTGGTATGGGCTCTGCGGGGGTCAGGCTTCCCCAGCACCTCTGGGCTGAAAAAGGGGCCAAGATCAGAGAGGACCAGGGCCCACCCAGGGCAGCACAGCATGGCAGGGGAGGCTGGGGGTTAGAGCCACTTCGCACGTGGTTGGCTGGCCACACCTGGGCAAGTGGGCACTCCCTGTGTACCCCCCACCCAGGACCTGATGGCCTCTGTTTAGATCCTGTAAAAAGCACAACCCCCCTCCATGTCTGTGTCTCTCTCAGTCTCTCTTCATGTCTGTACTCTCCCCCCTCCCTTCTCTGCGGTAGAGGTGCCTCAGCACCAGGGCCCAGTAAATCTGCTGGGATTCTAGCCTAGTCAGCACTCTCTCTCTCTCCTTCCCTCTCTTTCTCTCTCCCTTTCCTCTCCCTCTGTCCCTCCCTCCTTCCTTCTTATCTATCTCTCTGTCTCTTTCCCTCTGCCTCTCTGTCTCTCCCTCTCCCTCTGTCTGTCTGTCTCCCTCTCCCTCTGTCTGTCTCTCTTCTCCCTTCCTGCCTGAGCCTCCCTCCCTTCCTGTCTCATGACAAATGGATGGGAAATGCTGAGTCCTGGGGCCTCCTGCCCCATGCAGCCCCTGCCCATGTTCACACACCTGGGTGCATGTTGACCTGTGGTCAGTAGTGCAGGGGCACCCCCACACTCCCATGCACACTCACTGACACCACATCTGTGAGGACAGAGCCCTGCCCCACCTCAGATGTGCCCTAAGGTAGGGGGGTAGGTAGCAGAAACCTAGTGTGGCCTCAGACCTCCATGCAAATCTTGCTCAGGAGGCTCAGAAGGGAGTTCTCTTTCCAGCTGTGTGACTGGGTGGGTGACCTAATCCTTCCAGTGCAATGAAGTGACCAGTAACCTTCAACTCCTCAGGCTGCCTAAGGATTCAGGGAAGCAGGACACCTCTGAGGCACTGGGCACAGGGCCTGGCACATAGTCAGTACCCATAAATATTTATTGCATGAATGAATGGGTGAATGGATGGGTGGTTCTGTCAGTTGAAAGAAGGCACTTGAGTCTCCCTGAGCCTCCGCATCTCTTACTAAGTCCCCCAATTCTTCATCCTTCACACAGTGCCTGGTATACAGTAGGCACCAAATAACTGGATAGTAGGGACCCCACAAAAACTAGAACTTTGACCCACAAGGGTTTTTCTGTTGAACTTGCTTCCAGGCCCAGCCCCGTCCAGGGTCTTCCCAAGTTTGGCCAGAACAAGTGGCTACTAGCAGCCTTTGTTAGCTGGGGTGTGTGAATGGGGCTAACAGGCAGAGCATGAGATTGTCCCTTCACTGATCAGGATTCTGGAGACACGACAGTAAACAAAACAGATCAAATTCATCCCATTAGAGGGGCTGCAGTCTTGAGGTAGGGGGAGAATGGGCAGGAAACAAGGTGACAGAGCAGGACCAGGCTGCCTGGAGTGAGCCTCCCCAAGGAGGAGGTGGTAGTGCATTTGTCCCAGGATGGAGCAGGGGAAGGGAGCCACACAGAATTCAGAGAGCTCATACAGAATGCAGAGTGAGCATCATTGGGGAGACCCACTGATGGGGTCAGACCTCGTGCTTAAGGGCCCCAGCAGCGGGGTTAAGGAGTCAGGAGGTCCACAGTTGTAGGGACTCAGGTTGAAGTCCCAGCTCTGCTTCTTCCTGGCTGTGTGACTTTGGGCCAGTGGCTTCAATGCTCAGTGCCTCAGTCTCTCCTTCCAGATGGTGGGCACAATAAATGCTCAGCCTTCAAAAGGCACAACCTTGCTCCTTGTCTCTCTTGAATACCATGACCCTCTGGCTCAGTCCCCATCCTCTTCCTTGGATACCAGAGAGGGAAGTCAGAGGGAAGGTGAGGGCTCACACTCACCTGTCATTTTGGTAGGGGGTTTTCACTCTCTGGTCCGTTTACCAAAATTCCTCCCCTCAGCCCATAAGGTCCTGCACAACCAACCTCAGTCCCCTCCCTGCTATCACCCCCTCTACTTTCCCTCTTGTTCACTCTGCCATAATTTCACTGCCTCCTTGCTGTTTTCATAAAACATTAGACTCAGTCCTACCTCCAGACCTTTGCATGTGCTGGCGCTATTTTCTCTGGTTGGAAAGCTCCTACTCTGGATTGTCATCTTTCAGGTCTTCATTCAAGGGTCCTATCCTCTGAGAGACCCTTCCTGGCTACCCCCAGCTAAAAAACAACCCCCAAGGGATTCCCTGGCCCCCTCAAACTCCTTTAAATGTCTTCAAACCACTTAGTTCAGCGTGATGTTTTATTACATACTTGTTGGCTTGTTTAATGTCCATCCCTGCCCCAGATCAGGATCTGGGTGAGAGCCAAGCCCAGGTTACTGCTGGATCCTCAGCACCATACATGGAGCTGGCACACAGTAGGCACTCAGTAAATGTTTTTTGAGCAACTGAATGACTCTCTCCCTCATTAGATAAGAGCTGTTCATAAACTCTCATGCTCTGAGCTTGGGGGGAGGAGTGACCCTAGGTTTGGGACCCTAACTCTGGTGCCAGATGGGTCTGTGTTCACATATGAGCTCTGCTGTTTGCCATTTCACCTGGGCTTAACCTGGAGAAGGGTACATTGCAATCAGGGCTTTGAAGAATACATAGGAGTTTGGGTTAAGTGCTTATTAGGTGGATAAGATAGATTCTCAATGTTTGTTGAATTGTTGAGTGAATGAAGGAGAGAGAATCCTTCCCAGAACACTTTTGGGGTGGGAATTTGAGTTCCATGTGCTGGTTTGTTGCCCTGGACTGCCAGAGTGGGATGGATACAGGGAGGCCCAGGGAGGGGTACAGCCCAGTGCATAATTGTTCATCCAATCCATAGGGCCCAGCAAGGGCTTGGACCCAGGTGCCTACCTCCAAGCTGCTGCTGTCTTCTTTGGCCAGGAAGTCCCAGTGGATCAAGTGAGGGTTCTGGGAAAGGCCTAGCCTTGCTCTACCTCCCTCCACTCTCTGGTTACCAGGGCAATAGACAAGCCCCCCAACCCCCAACAGGCAGCAATGTTCTTTTCTGCCCGCTGTACAAAATGAGAAACTAAGGCCCAGAGTGTAGTAGTGATTTGTTCCTGGATCATACCGAAGGTGAAAATGGAGGCTGATGTCACCCGGCCTCATTCCCTCACAGGTGCTGCCTGGCAATGAGCACCTCAGCCCTGGGACTTAGGGCTGGAGAATGAAGAAGAGCTGGACTCAGACCCCACAGCGTGTGTGGTCCAAGCCAGGTCTGAGGGAACCCTGAGGAGAACAGGAAAGGCTGCCTGAAGGAAGGAACACTGGAAAAAGGGCTTTGAGTGATGTGTAGGAGTTTGGGAGGGTTCTTAGCGTCTAGCTTGCTTTGGCGCTCTCCTATGCCATGTCAGTCAGTGAGGGCATTGGGAGGTGCTTGCGGAAGAGGCCTTGGTTGTTGCAGGTCTTGTGGGACAAAGAGAGTGACAGGCCTGCCTCTCATCTGGCCTGACCTCCCTGGGAGGACAAGGGAGGATGGGGCAGCAGGTCCATGACCCAGTTAAGGACTGTTTGTCTTCTTTCCGCCAGGACCAGCTAGGGTCACTGGTGACGTGGGCTCCCACCCCTGTTCGCCTCCCTGGCACCTTTCCCCAGAGTGTAGAGATCAGAGAGGGGGAAGAAGGGGAGGCGGGCTCAGAGAGGGAAGGAGCTGGAAAATGGGTGGGGGCTCAGAGAGGAGGTGCCCAGACCAAGAAAAGGAATTGAGAGAGAGGGGCTCAGAAGTGGGGAGGTGCTCAAAGAGAAAGGGCGTCAAGGAGAGGAGGAGTCTGGGAACTGTAGCCTGCCCCTGCTGGTTGACACCCCAGCTCCCTCTTATCAGGGCCACAGTAATCACCAGAACTTGGGTGACAGCCACAGCCCAACGTCCACACCGTTGCCCTGGCATCCCCTCCACATTACAGTGACCTGTGCCTCTATCGGTTCCCTGTCCCCAGTTCCCCAGTCAGATGGCCTGGGCTGTGGTCCTGGCTCTGCTGACTGACTGTGTGACCATGGGCGAATGGCTCCCCATCTCTGGGTCTGGCACGTCAAGTGGCATCCAGGCACAGGACAGGCAACTCAGGTTGGACAGGGACTGGCAGGGGATGGGCCCCTCAGTCCTCCCTCTGCCTCAGCAGGCCAACACAGTTGTTTCACTTCAGGGCACATTGGAGTAGGGAGCTGGGCACACAAGCCGAGCCCCCTGTCATGCCACCCTGGCAAGGGCAGGACACTATTTTCAGAGCATTGGTAATAGGTGAAATCTGAGGTCATTCCCCTCCCCCAAGCACCCCATGGCCGGAGATGACTCAAAGAGAAATGAAGCACAGAGCAGGGAGGGTGTGCCCATCAGGGGTACCATGAGCATCCAGGCCTGGAGGTGGGACTGAGCCCAGCCACACCCATCTAGAAAGCAAACCAAGATCCCAGAGCAATTGTCTCTCTCTTTGAGACCCCAGCCTGGCGAAAAGCAGGCTGTTTTGAGAAAGGGGCCTAGCCCGGCCGGGTGTGGCTCAGCGGTTGAGCGTCGACCTAGGATCCAGGTGATTGGGGTTTGATTCCTGGTCAGGGCACATGCCCGGGTTGCGGGCTAGGCAGCCGATCAATGACTCTCTCATCATTGATGTTTCTAACTCTCTCTCTCCCTCTCCCTTCCTCTCTCTGAAATCAATAAAGATATATTTAAAAAAAAGAAAAAAGAGAAGGGACCTGATGGCCTTTGTGGAGGTGGGAGTCCTGGGTTCTTATCCTCTCTTAGGCCCTGAGAGTGGGACCTAGTCCAGGTCTCCACCCTTCTCTTAGCCTCAGTTTCCCCATCACACAATGTATAGCAAAGCCTTAGGCCTTTTCCTGCCCCCTGGAAGATTGCAAGCAACCAAAATAATTGTAACAACATCAATAATAATAGTAATAGCTAGTGCAGCGTTTTGAGAGCTGGGCAGATAATGGCATTCATAAGCCAGGAGGAAATATCACCCCATTCAAGAAGCCTAGCATAGTCCTGCAAGAGTGGGGAGCTAGGACTGATATTTTTCTTCTGTCTTCCTTTCTCCTTGAATGTCTCACTCCTTGAAGCTGAGAAACCAAGTCTTGGATGTTCTGCAGACTGTTTCCCTTGCTAGGAAATGGAGAGAATGGATGCAGTCCTTACATCCCTATTGAAGGGGATGGGGCTTCCCATGTGGTTCTCTGAGGGGCCCCACTGGGGATGCTGCTTTCATGGGCGAAGTCAGATGAGTGTGGGGTCCAGTCCTAGCCCCTCATGACTGGGTCCCCTCTTGGGGCGTCTGTTTCCTCATTGTGGGCCCAGCAACACTAATTATGCACAATGGGGGTGGGGGTTGTTGATGTCATAGCTCTGGCCAGGTCTCAGCCTCCCTAGGCCTCAGTTTTTCCATTTGTGGAATGGGTCTGTGGTGAGGGGGAGGTGAACTGGCCCCCAGGGGCCCCTCTTTGTAGCTCTGAACCTCCAGGGCTGAACTCTCCTGTCCCTAGTGTATTTTGACCTGTGTCTTGGGCCTCAGCTTTCCTGGCCCCTTCAATGGGCCAATGCAAGAGCCCTCACCCTTTCATCAGCCCCTGGCATCCAGGGGTCCTAGTCTTGGCCTGTGGGCCTCAGCCAGTCCCATCTGCACATGTGTTCTTTACAAACAGCCCCTTGTCCTCATTTTTTACATCAGTGCCAAGGGCCAGTAGAGGCAGCCCTGGACCTCCATCTAGTGTCAGCTTCCTCTGTTGAGCAGTTGGTCTGAGAAAGGAGCCCCAAGCACTATTCTCCAAGCCTGGTTTCTCCTGCAGTCATTGAAGACCTACTGTGTTCTGGGCCTGCTCTCAACATTAGAGCTCACACACACAGCCTGGGGCTGGATGCCAGCCATCTGTTTTTGTCAATAAAGTTTTATTGGAATACTGTTCTGCTCATCATTTACATCTTACCTGTGTTGCACTTACAGTGCAGAGTGGAGTAGTGGCAACTAAAGTATTCACTATCTGGTTCTTTATGGTACTTTGAAACCGCAGTTAGAAGGCAGAGAATGGATCCATGACATGCTCATTCTCCCAACCTCAGTTTTCCCATCTGTACAATGGGTCCCCATCAGCCTCCACCTGGGACCCTCAGCCTGTCCTGTTTTGAGATTCAATACAGTTTTTCACGAATGTCTTCCTTGGCCTGGACTTCCCATCTAGTCCAAGCCTTAGTTTCCCCATATGGGCAGTTGGTTCTCGCCTGTCCCCCACGAACTTCTGCTAGGTCCCTTCAGCTTTCCCCAGGGTGTGGAGGGGTCTGCAGTGGCCCCTGCCCACATCTGCCTGGCCCTCTCCCCCACCCCTTATTTAGTTTGCCTGGGGGTCCCGGTCCTCAGTCTTCTGGTTGGGGCAGTGGGTCCCCTGTGTCCAGCGCCTCCTGACTCCCCGCCTCTCCTGCCCACAGGATGAGTTCCACCCGTTCATCGAGGCGCTGCTGCCTCACGTGCGCGCCTTCGCCTACACCTGGTTCAACCTGCAGGCGCGAAAGCGCAAGTACTTCAAGAAGCACGAGAAGCGGATGTCCAAGGATGAGGAGCGAGCGGTGAAGGACGAGCTGCTGGGCGAGAAGGCGGAGGTGAAGCAGAAGTGGGCGTCGCGGCTGCTGGCCAAGCTGCGCAAGGACATCCGGCCCGAGTGCCGGGAGGACTTCGTGTTGGCCATCACCGGCAAGAAGGCGCCTGGCTGCGTGCTCTCCAACCCTGACCAGAAGGGCAAGATGCGCCGCATCGACTGCCTGCGCCAGGCTGACAAGGTGTGGCGGCTGGACCTGGTCATGGTCATCCTCTTCAAGGGCATCCCCCTGGAGAGCACCGACGGCGAGCGCCTGGTCAAGGCAGCTCAGTGCGGCCACCCCGTGCTCTGCGTGCAGCCGCACCACATCGGAGTGGCAGTCAAGGAGCTTGACCTCTACCTGGCCTACTTTGTGCGCGAGAGAGGTGAGCTCAAAGGAGATGGGATGCACCTATCTTCCCACCCAAGGGGGAAGGTGGGCTCAGGCAAGGTCAGAGGGAGGAGGCAACATATGTCAGGTCTGATGAGAGGTGGGTCTAGGCGTAGTTCAGAGGAGGAGGCAGACCAACAGGAGGTCTGAAGGGGAAAGCAGACCCATGGGCAGTCTCGGGGTTGGTGGGCCATGGCAAGGTCCATAGGGGAAGGCAGAAGAGGGAGTAGGCAGACCCAAGCAAGGCCCAAGGGAGGAGGCAACCTACAGAGGTCTGAATGGGGAGGCTGACCTTTGCAGAGTCAGAGGGAGAAGGCAGCCTGTGCGCTATAAGGGGGAGGTGGATGCAATGGGAGGGTCTAAGGGGGGCAGTGGGCCTACACTGGAGCTTGAGGGGACAGGCTCACTTGATGTGAAAGTCTAATGGTTCAAGGAGAGTCTGGGTGGGGAGGCAGGTACATCCTGAGACTCTGAAGGTAGAGGCAAACCCTGGCTTTGATGTCTGCGGGGGCTGGCATGCCCTTGAGGTCTCAGGAGATGAGACTCTGTCCCAGAAGATCTGAAGAGCAAGATATGGCCTGTTAGGAACAGGGAGGAGGACAGGAGAGTGACTGATGGGAGGCAGACAAATGGGAGACAAACAAACAATTTGATCCCTCTGGGGAAAGCTGGGAGAGTGCTGGATTTGTGCACTGTGAACACTGGTTGATTGACTCTCCGACTTCCAGTAGAGGCCCAATGGGGCACACATTTGTGCTGTGAGTGGGAAGCTGGGTGCTGTGTGACTTTAGCTAGGTCACCACCCTCTCTGGTCCTCAATGTCCCCAGCTCTGGCCCTTCCAGCTGGGTGTTTGCTGGTTCTCTGGTTCTCTGCCTGAGGTTGAGACTGGTCAGCAGGGGTTTTGAGAGTGGGGGAAATCCATGGCAGCTTCCTGGAAAAAGAGGTATGGCTGAGCTGAGTACTGCAGGATGGCTGGGCAGTGATGGGCATGGAGGTATCCCAGGTGGTCAGCGGCCTAGGCGGAGATGTGGAGGCCAGATGTGTGTGGTCCAGCCTCTCTAGGTCACAGGTGCTGGTGGCCAAAGCCAGGGCCACTGCTTCCTGTCGGTGTGTCTGTGTTCCAAATGCAGCCCTGGTGTGACTTTGGACGTCTCATTGTTCTGTGCCTCAGTTTCCCCCTTAGTACAATGGGGATAATGACCTTGCCGACTCCTAGCAATGGTATAAAGATTAGATGACGCTGTGGAGCTCCAGGTCTCCAGGGTGTATAGGAGGGAGAGCCAGGCAGAGTTTCCCTTTTTTTAAAAATATATCTTTATTTTTTAATATATCTTTATTGACTTCAGAGAGAGGAAGGGAAAGGGAGAGAGATAGAAACATCAATAATGAGTCATTGATTGGCTACCTCCTACATGCCCCCTACTGGGGATCAAGCCTACAACCCGTGCATGTGCCCTGACCAGGAATCGAACCACAATCTCCTGGATCATAGGTCGATGCTTAACCGCTGAGCCATGCCTCCGGCAAGTTTCCCAGTCTTGACCTTGGTCCCATCTGCCCCTGCCCCATCCCCACCAATAAGTAACAAGCCCACTGGGGTGGGCAGTGAAGCAGTGTTGGCAGGGTGTGGAGGCAGAGAAGTGGAGAAGGTGACTGTCGAAGGCAGGGAGCAGGGGGCAGGGACTGCCTCGGCTCCTTACCATACAGGTCCAGATCTCCCCCTCCACATTCATCCTCTGCACCCAGCCCCACCCCCACCTTCTCTGAGCTGAGCTGATAAAATTTTGAAGCAGAGTTTTCTGCCAGCGTCAGCATAATCTCTGGGCTCCTACCCTCCCCCACCTGGCCCCCTCCCCCTCTCAGCTCAGCATGCAAGCTCGGCCTCCAGGCCTCCCCAGACACCTTCAAGCCCCACTGCTGGCCTTTGCCAGCCAGTCTGATCAACCTCCTTGAATGAGGGCCAGGAAAGGTCAAGGCTGCACCTTCCCCTGCTTCCAGCCGACTCTATTATCCCAGGGGAATCCCTGCTCAACTGGACCCAGCTGACCCAGCCCCAGCTGGCCTGGAGTGCGGGTGGTATATGAGAGCTAGGCCTGGATTCCAGCCCTAACTCAGCTGCCTGCTGCTGGGTGATCCAGGACAAGTCGCTTAACTTCTCTGTGCCTCGTTTTCTTTTCTATAAAATGGGAAGCTCAAAAGTAGCTGCCGGTAGGAACATTGGATGCTCATGGTTGTTGAAGACAAGTACTAGGCACAGGGCTAGGGCTCCATGGATGGTTATTGTACATCCTTGTTATGATTACAGTTTCCTCTCCTCCAGGCCTTTGCCCGTGCTGTTTGCTCTGACTGGAATGCCTTTCTTATATGGAAAACTCCTACTTATGCTGCAAAACTCCAACTCCTAGCTCCACTTTCTCTCTGTCAGGCATTGTTTTCTGATGGCTTAGCAATTCCTTTCCATTCTCATAGCAACTCTATTCGTCAGGAATCATTGTTGTACCTATTTCACAGAAAAGGAAACAGAAGCCCAAAGAAGGGACCACCCAAGGTCACACAGCCAAGAGTGGGGAGAAGAGGGGTTTGTAGTAGGCAGCTTCTGAGCTGACACACACACACTTCCAACCTTCCATACTCAGTGGCAGAAAGGGATGAAGGAAATCGTGGTTTGCAATATGGGCATCTAGTCATCATGACTTGGCCACCTCCAGGCTGGGTCTGTGTTCTAGGCCTCCAGCAGCCAAGGCCTCATCCAGGGTTCCTGAGCCGAGGCTGCCCTCCAGGAACCTGTGCTGAGCCCAGCTCCCTGACATTTATCCCAGGACTCTTGTCCTCATTCTGGGCCAGAGTTAAGTCTGTTTTCGGCCAGGCAGATGTCAGTCCAATGGCAGAGAAAACTGTCCACCGCCTCCCTGTTCCCACCCAGTAGGTTCTAGGACTTGGGCGGGGGGGGCAGTGCCAGCCTAGGCCAGAGCAGTGTCCACTTTCCTTAGCCTTACTGGGAGGTGTGGGACTGATGAGACAGTAAGATTTGGCCTCAGTTGGCCTCTGGAGGAGTTCAGGGTGGATGATGAGGGGAGTACCCACTGCACAGCTGAAAGGAGGTACTGCCTCCAACATCAGGAGTAGGGTCTCAGAACTGACAGAAAGACAGACAGACACACACACACAGATGCAGACAGAAACACAGAGACATGGAGAGACACAGAGAGACTCAGAGGCACCGCGTATGCCTGCCCTCTCACTCAGCCCTTCCCTGCCCTTGGACAAGCCCCTCCCCCCCAGCCTCTCTACCTCTCCCGGGGGGCGTCAGGTGGACTTGTGGGGCCACACCCCAAAGGGGAATCCCAGGCCTCCACCCTTGGATTTATTTTGGGGGATGTAGGAGTGAAGACTAGCCATGAGAAGGTCCCTTCAGTACTGGGGCTGTAAGAGCCTAGAGCACCTCTTGGACCCAAATTTGGCTGCCCCAGGCGTCCATCTGGCGCCACCATGGCCATAGGAGCCCAGTTCCAGGGGCTGGACAAAGTGTGTGCCCCAGGGCCAGCCTAGGGGACAGCTGGGGAGACGGTGATGAAGGGGTGATGTGAGCTTCCCCTCGGGACATTGGGGGCTGCCTGCTAAATCAGGGCACTTTGGGAGGGAGGTGCCATGAGCAGAGGATGAAGAAGCTGACAGTTCACAGTACAATTAATAAGAATGTGACGTCAGGGAAACAGAGCAGGGGAGAGGTGTGGAGAGGGGTCAGTGGGGTACACTCTAGACAGGAAGGAACTCTTGGAGGAGGTGACTTTTGAGATGAAGCCTGAAGGAGATGAAGGAGGTGTGGAGGGACTGAGTGAGAGACAGTGCACCAGGCAGGGGCACAGCCAGTACAAAGGCCCTGAGGCTGGAATGGCCCAGAGGCTGCAGGGAATGTTGAAGAGGGAGGTGATGAGAGTGATGGGGAGGCCAGGACCTGGCGCTCTTTAACCTGCCTTGCATTTGGGAAGGTGCCTGGAGGAAACGGGGCCCAGAGAGGGAAGCTGCCTGCCCAACCCTGAAGCTCAGCCAGGCCTCCCTGCCCCCTCTGGCGGCCTGAGAAACCTGAGGCTGGCGGGCCCAGTGCCAGGGGTGGGCAGGGGAGGGACTGCCAGGCCTGCCCGCTCCAGGCAGCTGCCAGCCCGCCCCAGCCACCAGTCCAGCTGGTGCCCATTTGCTGACGCTGCCCTGGGCTGGCCTCCTGCTCCTGCCTTGTGCGGTGCCAACCTCCCTGAATGGCGCTGTGGGCAGAGGCCAACTTCGGAAGCTTGAAGTAGAGAGGGGCTGCCCACGGTGCCCCCAAGGAGGGGGACAGGAGAAACTACAGGGGTCCTCAACACCTCCTGGATAGAACCAGGAAGCAGTAATAACAACAAAGTTAATAATAGCTGTGGACATGTATTGAGTGCCCACTGTGTGCCCATTCCACATCTCAACTGGTTTAATTCTCTCCACCATCTGGGAGGGAAATACCTTCTCCCGTGTTTTCCATAAGGAAACAGGGTTCCAGAGGTGGTCAGGCACTTGCCCAAAGTCACACAGTTTGTAAGAGGCAGAGGAGAATTAGAACCCATGGACTGTGAGTCCTCAAAACCCCTAAAAGAAAAACACTAAAGCCCTACCTGGTTTGGCTCAGTGGTTAGAGCATCGGCCTATGGATTGAAGGGTCTCAGGTTTGATTCCGGTCAAGGGCATGTACCTCAGTTGCAGGCCCGATCCCCCATCCTCACCCCGGTCAGGGCACGTGCTAGAGACCAATTGATGTGTCTCTCATGTCGATGTTTCTCTCTGAAAAGCAATGGAAAAAATATACTCTTCCACTCTCTCTGAAAAGCAATGGAAAAAATATACTCTGGTGAGGATTAAAAATAATAATTTTAAAAAGGGGAAAAAAAGAAAAAACACACCTTTGAGGTTATCAGGTAGGACTCCCACTCCCAGTTGTACAGATGGTAAAAAGGGCAGGCCCTGAGTAC